TTCAACATCAAGCTCAGATAGCTCTGCTCACAAGGACCAAATTCACAAGGTAATAATAATGGATCATCATCTGCTGCTGCCTGCTGCCGCCGCTGCTGCTGCCGCTGCTGCCTCATCTTCAAATACTGGCTCAGGATCATCTGCTCAAACTAGCAAATCAGGAACAGGATCAGGATCAGGATCAGGATCATCTGGCACTGGTTCATCATCATCATCATCAACTATCTGCTGCTTCAACTGCTGCCGCCTCAGGTGCCTCAGGTGCATCAGGTTCAGGATCATCAGGTTCAGCTTCAGACTCAAGTTCAACATCAAGCTCAGATAGCTCTGCTTCACAAGGACCAAATTCACAAGGTAATAATGGATCATCATCTGCTGCTGCTGCTCCGCTGCCGCCGCTGCTGCTGCCGCTGCTGCCTCATCTTCAAATACTGGCTCAGGATCATCTGCTCAAACTAGCAAATCAGGAACAGGATCAGGATCAGGATCAGGATCATCTGGCACTGGTTCATCATCATCATCATCAACTGGCTTATCTGCTGCTTCAACTGCTGCTGCCTCAGGTGCCTCAGGTGCATCAGGTTCATCAGGTTCAGGATCATCAGGTTCAGCTTCAGACCAAGTTCAACATCAAGCTCAGATAGCTCTGCTCACAAGGACCAAACACGTAATAATAATGGATCATCATCTGCTGCTGCTGCTTCCGCTGCCGCTGCTGCTGCCGCTGCTGCCTCATCTTCAAATACTGGCTCAGGATCATCTGCTCAAACTAGCAAATCAGGAACAGGATCAGGATCAGGATCAGGATCATCTGGCACTGGTTCATCATCATCATCAACTGGCTCATCTGCTGCTTCAACTGCTGCCCTCAGGTGCCCAGTGCATCAGGTTCATCAGGTTCAGGATCATCAGGTTCAGCTTCAGACTCAAGTTCAACATCAAGCTCAGATAGCTCTGCTTCACAAGGACCAAATTCACAAGGTAATAATGGATCATCATCTGCTGCTGTTGCTCCGCTGCCGCCGCTGCTGCTGCCGCTGCTGCCTCATCTTCAAATACTGGCTCAGGATCATCTGCTCAAACTAGCAAATCAGAACAGGATCAGGATCAGGATCAGGATCATCTGGCACTGGTTCATCATCATCATCAACTGGCTCATCTGCTGCTTCAACTGCTGCGCCCAGGTGCTCAGGTGTCAGGTTCATCAGGTTCAGGATCATCAGGTTCAGCTTCAGACCAAGTTCAACATCAAGCCCAGCTCTGCTTCACGACCAAACCAAATACATGGATCATCATCTGCTGCTGCCGCTTCCGCCGCCGCTGCTGCCGCTGCTGCCTCATCTTCAAATACTGGCTCAGGATCATCTGCTCAAACTAGCAAATCAGGAACAGGATCAGGATCAGGATCAGGATCATCTGGCACTGGTTCATCATCATCAACTGGCTCATCTGCTGCTTCAACTGCTGCTGCCTCAGGTGCCTCAGGTGCATCAGGTTCATCAGGTTCAGGATCATCAGGTTCAGCTTCAGACTCAAGTTCAACATCAAGCTCAGATAGCTCTGCTTCACAAGGACCAAATTCACGTAACAAATGATCATCATCTGCTGCTGCTTCCGCCGCCGCCGCTGCCTGCCGCTGCTGCCTCATCTTCAAATACTGGCTCAGGATCATCTGCTCAAACTAGCAAATCAGGAACAGGATCAGGATCAGGATCAGGATCATCTGGCACTGGTTCATCATCATCATCATCAACTGGCTCATCTGCTGCTTCAACTGCTGCTGCCTCAGGTGCCTCAGGTGCATCAGGTTCAGGATCATCAGGTTCAGCTTCAGACTCAAGTTCAACATCAAGCTCAGATAGCTCTGCTTCACAAGGACCAAATTCACAAGGTAATAATGGATCATCATCTGCTGTTGCTGCTGCCGCCGCCGCTGCCGCGCTGCTGCCTCATCTTCAAATACTGGCTCAGGATCATCTGCTCAAACTAGCAAATCAGGAACAGGATCAGGATCAGGATCAGGATCATCTGGCACTGGTTCATCATCATCATCATCAACTGGCTCATCTGCTGCTTCAACTGCTGCTGCCTCAGGTGCCTCAGGTGCATCAGGTTCATCAGGTTCAGGATCATCAGGTTCAGCTTCAGACTCAAGTTCAACATCAAGCTCAGATAGCTCTGCTTCACAAGGACCAAATTCACAAGGTAATAATAATGGATCATCATCTGCTGCTGCTGCTGCTGCTGCCTCATCTTCAAATACTGGCTCAGGATCATCTGCTCAAACTAGCAAATCAGGAACAGGATCAGGATCAGGATCAGGATCATCTGGCACTGGTTCATCATCATCAACTGGCTCATCTGCTGCTTCAACTGCCTGCCTCAGGTGCCTGTGCATCAGGTTCATCAGGTTCAGGATCATCAGGTTCAGCTTCAGACTCAAGTTCAACATCAAGCTCAGATAACTCTGCTTCACAAGGACCAAATTCACAAGGTAATAATAATGGATCATCATCTGCTGCTGCTGCTGCCGCCGCCGCTGCTGCCGCTGCTGCTGCCTCATCTTCAAATACTGGCTCAGGATCATCTGCTCAAACTAGCAAATCAGGAACAGGATCAGGATCAGGATCAGGATCATCTGGCACTGGTTCATCATCATCAACTGGCTCATCTGCTGCTTCAACTGCTGCCGCCTCAGGTGCCTCAGGTGCATCAGGTTCATCAGGTTCAGGATCATCAGGTTCAGCTTCAGACCTCAAGTTCAACATCAAGCTCAGATAGCTCTGCTTCAAGGACCAAATTCACGTAATAATAATGGATCATCATCTGCTGCTGCTGCCTGCTGCTGCCGCCGCTGCTGCTGCTGCCTCATCTTCAAATCTGGCTCAGGATCATCTGCTCAAACTAGCAAATCAGGAACAGGATCAGGATCAGGATCAGGATCATCTGGCACTGGTTCATCATCATCATCAACTGGCTCATCTGCTGCTTCAACTGCTGCTGCCTCAGGTGCCTCAGGTGCATCAGGTTCATCAGGTTCAGCTTCAGACTCAAGTTCAACATCAAGCTCAGATAGCTCTGCATCTAGACGTGCACAATCCTCATTCGTCAATTCATATGGACAAAATTGTATTTGTTATGCTTGAGTGTTATAAAACTTCCAATCTTTTTTGAGAAAATTCAACAATAAATATTTCGCATACAGCTAATCTATACTTTCGTTATAACACAAATTATTTATTGCAGCAGCATGACTGTATATTCTCCAGCGTTATCACGTGGGAACACTGATTTTTTTTCTCAGGGTTTCAGTAAAACTACAAATATCAATAATCCACAACCTTAAAATTAATAAAAGTAGTGAGATCGAATTGAACTTGTTAACAATTCATTAGAATGGCAACTGCAATGAAAGAATAAGTGAGTTTTTGATATAAAGAGCAGAGCAACTAAACACCTCTCTAGTTAATGAAGGAGTACTAACAAGAAAATTGCAATGGAACAAATATTATGTCAACTATGGAGAGAGAAACCAAAGAATATGAAATACTCTTTCTTATCTTTTCTTCTATTTCTATGTCCTTTTTGTTTTCTCTTGCTTTTCTCTTTATTTAATAATTCATTTCTCTCTTCCCAATCCTTCTAATTGGTGATTAAGAATGATATTGATCGTCGTCGTTGATTTAAATAGCAAGTTGATTTTTAATATTAATTAATTAACAATGGTAATATAAACTGAGGTGGTTGAGGTGTGTGGATAAGAAAGGAAGAGGTCACAATCAAGTGAATTGGTTGACTACTTTTAACAACAATTAGATCAATGTATTTATACATTGATCATCAATGATAAATAAACGTGAAGAGGGGAAGAGAAAGGGGGAAATCAAGGGGTTGTCAATAAATCTCTAACATATCTCCCTTCGAAAATACAAGAAATTAACGAGCAATTAAATAATTTCGCTTGGACCAACAATATTGACCTTAATTGATTGACCTGAGACAATCGGTGCATTAGGAGGGAGAGCGATTATGTGTGTTGGTCGATGTTTGACATTACATTGTCATAGGGACTTATTGTTTGTGATTTCGTTATGAGTGAACATAAATAATTGACCAACGGATCTTTTCAGATCCTTTTCGAGTTTCGATCTGAATGTTTTCGCCATCGTTTCAAGTGGTACATTGTCATACAATTTCACTTGATTTCCAACATTAACATTAATTTTTGCTCCAGTTCCATAGGAATGGACAACCTGAGAAGGGGATGGAGATGAAAATCTTCATCAATTGTTTGCCCTGGGCCCTGATCATTGATCAATTTTTCTAAATTATTAATTTTCTCTCTCAACGATCTTATGTATATTTTACAATTATGATCAACAGTTTTGATGACATCACAACCAGAACACCATTGATCGGGATGAAATTGACAATTCATCACATGAGTCTCAAAGGTAGAGAAGAAAATTCGTTCACTACAATCATCATGATGACAATTGACTAAAAGATTACTTAGTCGTCGCATAGTGTCAGTTGGAGGAGAGACAAGATTAGGGACTACATCAACACCCGCCAAATTACCACCACAATTCTGGGGACATGGAATCGGACCCCAATCATTTCGGTTCAATCCGATGTATCTATTGACACACGGGTCACAAAATATCAACGAGCATTGATGATAGGGTTGGCCCCATGGGTAAATTTGACCATGTGACTTCGGTTCGAGTGGGACATGATGGCAAATAGCACATATAAAGGACGAAGCGGCATTTTGGTTAACAAAAATATCAGAATCAATGGTTGACATGATTAAATGAATGAAGAGATCAAGAGAAAGGAAAACAACAAGAATAACAACAATAACAACAATAACAATTGAATTAAGCCGAGGGCCAAGGAGAAAACAATAACAACTGATGACCAATGTGACAATTGTGCGAATAACCCTTTCTATGTTATTTAACGAGCATTTATCTGTGTACAACCAATGGCGTTTGTCAACTTCGTGTTGTGAATGGTTTTAAACGTTCAACATGTACAACTTGTGTTCGTGCTGGTCCTTTCATGTTAATTACTGTTGGATCTTTTACACTTCTGAAACAACAGAGTCCACAATGATCCGTGATTACGGTGAATTTGCGTCCGAATAAATAGTGTCTCAGATTCGCTATTGCCCATACAATAGCTAAACACTCTTTTTCAGTAACACCATAATTTTTCTCAGCTGGATTCAATGTTCGGCTGATGAATGATATCGGCTTGAATTCATCATTTTGTTTCTGAAGTAGACAAGCTCCAAGTCCTTCATTTGAAGCATCGGTTCTTAATTCAATCTCACCTTCATCTGTTATAGGTGAGAGAACTGGTGGAGATACTAAAGCTTGTTTAAGATCATCAAATGCGTTCTGTTGATCTTCAGTCCAAACATATGGAACATTTTTCTTTAGTAATCGGTTGAGATGAAAGGCTCTCCTTGAGAAACCATCGATGAACCTACGGTACGTTGTGGCGAGGCCTAAGAATCGTCTCATCTCATGAATATTTGTCGGCGGTTGAATACAAAGTATAGATGCGGCTCTACTAGGATCAGGTACGATACCATCTTGATTAACTTTGTGACCAAGGTAAATTATTTCATTGACTGAGAATGTACATTTATGACGACGTAATTTAACATCATGCTGTTTTAAGCGTTGAAGTACTAATCTTAATCTGTAATCGTGCTCTTCTTGAGTTCGTCCAAAGATTATTATATCGTCGAAATATACAAAGCAATCAACATAATTTAAACCACCAAGTATACCATTAATCGTACGAACGGCTGTTGCTGGAGCATTTTTCAGGCCGAATGGCATTCGAGTGAACTCAAATAAACCTTGGAGTCCTTGTGGTCCTACTACGAGAGGCGTATCTTTCGCTACTCAAGTTCTTGACAATCTTTGTCAATGTATCAAGCGTTTATTATTGGTAATCAGATAAGAGATTACTGTAAACTTGTAAATTTCTCTCATACCTTGAGTCATGTAGTTAATTAAGTTAGATTCTTCCATTGAAGGATCATATTCACTACACATTGACAACATTGAGTATACATAACTACTCAATGACTCATCTGGTTTTTGTATTTTAGTACAAATTGAATTTAACAAGCGTGATTTTTCTTCGTCATTGATGAAGGTCGAACAGAATTCAGCACGAAACTCAACCCATGTTAGAGTTCTATTCTGGTTAACGATCCTTCCCCAAAACCAATCTGAGGCCATGCCATCCAAACACCAACCCACTCCATGTAACAATTCATCGCCGGTTAGACCATTAAGTACACATGTCTGTTCATATTTTCTCAGCCAGGCTGCAGCTTCACTTTGTTTACCAGAGAATTTCGGAGGACTACCACAACTGAATAGATTTCTTCTAACTGGATTAGGAGCAGCTTGAGTTGTATCAGGCATGAAACTTGTATTAATGAGACTACCATTAGCCATTGATGGTTGTTGTTGGGTTGTATTTGTTTCTTCTGACCTTGACTGCAATGTTGGAAGTAATGTTGTTGTAAACTCTGAGATAAGATCTTTTACTATTTGAGTTACTTCCGCTTTAGCAGTATCACTTAATTCCATTATGTAACCTACTTCTTTTCTGCCCTGTTTATATAACACAAATGAACCTTGTCCTTTACTAGTTCTAGACGTTGATCGAGTAGTAGCAATTTTGAAACACTAGATGAAGACGTTGAACAAACACCAGGTGAACAATTAACTAGCCAAGGGCTCACAATGTTATAAGAGGTAAACACTACGAATCTCAGTTGTGAGAGGTACCGAGATATGTTACGAATGTAACGGTTTTATTAAACAAAATATAAACTGAGGTGGTTGAGGTGTGTGGATAAGAAAGGAAGAGGTCACAATCAAGTGAATTGGTTGACTACTTTTAACAACAATTAGATCAATGTATTTATACATTGATCATCAATGATAAACAAAGGTGAAGAGGGGAAGAGAAAGAGGGAAATCAAGGGGTTGTCAATAAATCTCTAACAAGCTCAACTTTTATTTCGTGGATTGTGCTAATTTGCTTATTTGATCTTTTTGATCATCATGAAATCAAGACCTGGTATGTTTCAGATGCTGAAAATGCTAGTAAGCCTAAAAAAATCTCATCTGAAGTCCTTTGTGCGCCCAAAATCATGGCCTATTTGCCACTTTCAACAGACACGTTGCCGCTATTCTAAGCCCGCTTAAGAGCTTTAAGATCTATCTTACTAGAGACTCTGAGAAATAGGATTAGTGTTTCCACGTGATAACGCTGAAGATTATACAGCAGCATGCAGCAATAAATAATTTGTGTTATTACGAAAGTATAGATTAGCTGTATGCGAAATATTTATTGTTGAATTTTCTCAAAAAAGATTGGAAGTTTTATAACACTCAAGCATAACAAATACAATTTTGTCCATATGAATTGACGAATGAGGATTGTGCACGTCTAGATGCAGAGCTATCTGAGCTTGATGTTGAACTTGAGTCTGAAGCTGAACCTGATGATCCTGAACCTGATGAACCTGATGCACCTGAGGCACCTGAGGCAGCAGCAGTTGAAGCAGCAGATGAGCCAGTTGATGATGATGATGAACCAGTGCCAGATGATCCTGATCCTGATCCTGATCCTGTTCCTGATTTGCTAGTTTGAGCAGATGATCCTGAGCCAGTATTTGAAGATGAGGCAGCAGCGGCAGCAGCGGCGGCGGCAGCGGAAGCAGCAGCAGATGATGATCCATTATTATTTTGTGAATTTGGTCCTGTGAAGCAGAGCTATCTGAGCTTGATGTTGAACTTGAGTCTGAAGCTGAACCTGATGATCCTGAACCTGATGAACCTGATGCACCTGAGGCACCTGAGGCAGCAGCAGTTGAAGCAGCAGATGAGCCAGTTGATGATGATGATGAACCAGTGCCAGATGATCCTGATCCTGATCCTGATCCTGTTCCTGATTTGCTAGTTTGAGCAGATGATCCTGAGCCAGTATTTGAAGATGAGGCAGCAGCAGCGGCAGCAGCGGCGGCGGCAGCGGAAGCAGCAGCAGCAGATGATGATCCATTATTATTACCTTGTGAATTTGGTCCTTGTGAAGCAGAGCTATCTGAGCTTGATGTTGAACTTGAGTCTGAAGCTGAACCTGATGATCCTGAACCTGATGAACCTGATGCACCTGAGGCACCTGAGGCAGCAGCAGTTGAAGCAGCAGATGAGCCAGTTGATGATGATGATGAACCAGTGCCAGATGATCCTGATCCTGATCCTGATCCTGTTCCTGATTTGCTAGTTTGAGCAGATGATCCTGAGCCAGTATTTGAAGATGAGGCAGCAGCAGCGGCAGCAGCGGCGGCAGCGGAAGCAGCAGCAGCAGATGATGATCCATTATTACCTTGTGAATTTGGTCCTTGTGAAGCAGAGCTATCTGAGCTTGATGTTGAACTTGAGTCTGAAGCTGAACCTGATGATCCTGAACCTGATGAACCTGATGCACCTGAGGCACCTGAGGCAGCAGTTGAAGCAGCAGATGAGCCAGTTGATGATGATGATGAACCAGTGCCAGATGATCCTGATCCTGATCCTGATCCTGTTCCTGATTTGCTAGTTTGAGCAGATGATCCTGAGCCAGTATTTGAAGATGAGGCAGCAGCGGCAGCAGCGGCGGCGGCAGCGCAGCAGCAGATGATGATCCATTATTACCTTGTGAATTTGGTCCTTGTGAAGCAGAGCTATCTGAGCTTGATGTTGAACTTGAGTCTGAAGCTGAACCTGATGATCCTGAACCTGATGAACCTGATGCACCTGAGGCACCTGAGGCAGCAGTTGAAGCAGCAGATGAGCCATTTGATGATGATGATGAACCAGTGCCAGATGATCCTGATCCTGATCCTGATCCTGTTCCTGATTTGCTAGTTTGAGCAGATGATCCTGAGCCAGTATTTGAAGATGAGGCAGCAGCAGCGGCAGCAGCGGCGGCGGCAGCGGAAGCAGCAGCAGCAGATGATGATGATCCATTATTATTACCTTGTGAATTTGGTCCTTGTGAAGCAGAGTTATCTGAGCTTGATGTTGAACTTGAGTCTGAAGCTGAACCTGATGATCCTGAACCTGATGAACCTGATGCACCTGAGGCAGCAGCAGCAGCAGCAGTTGAAGCAGCAGATGAGCCATTTGATGATGATGATGAACCAGTGCCAGATGATCCTGATCCTGATCCTGATCCTGTTCCTGATTTGCTAGTTTGAGCAGATGATCCTGAGCCAGTATTTGAAGATGAGGCAGCAGCAGCGGCAGCAGCGGCGGCAGCGGAAGCAGCAGCAGATGATGATCCATTATTACCTTGTGAATTTGGTCCTGTGAAGCAGAGCTATCTGAGCTTGATGTTGAACTTGAGTCTGAAGCTGAACCTGATGATCCTGAACCTGATGAACCTGATGCACCTGAGGCACCTGAGGCAGGCAGTTGGCAGATGAGCCAGTTGATGATGATGATGAACCAGTGCCAGATGATCCTGATCCTGATCCTGATCCTGTTCCTGATTTGCTAGTTTGAGCAGATGATCCTGAGCCAGTATTTGAAGATGAGGCAGCAGCGGCAGCAGCGGCGGCGGCAGCGCAGCAGCAGATGATGATCCATTATTACCTTGTGAATTTGGTCCTTGAAGCAGAGCTATCTGAGCTTGATGTTGAACTTGAGTCTGAAGCTGAACCTGATGAACCTGATGCACCTGAGGCACCTGAGGCAGCAGTTGAAGCAGCAGATGAGTTGATGATGATGATGATGAACCAGTGCCAGATGATCCTGATCCTGATCCTGATCCTGTTCCTGATTTGCTAGTTTGAGCAGATGATCCTGAGCCAGTATTTGAAGATGAGGCAGCAGCAGCGGCAGCAGCGGCGGCGGCAGAAGCAGCAGCAGATGATGATCCATTATTATTACTTGTGAATTTGGTCCTGTGAAGCAGAGCTATCTGAGCTTGATGTTGAACTTGAGTCTGAAGCTGAACCTGATGATCCTGAACCTGATGAACCTGATGCACCTGAGGCACCTGAGGCAGCAGTTGAAGCAGCAGATGAGCCAGTTGATGATGATGATGAACCAGTGCCAGATGATCCTGATCCTGATCCTGATCCTGTTCCTGATTTGCTAGTTTGAGCAGATGATCCTGAGCCAGTATTTGAAGAAGATGAGGCAGCAGCGGCAGCAGCGGCGGCAGCAGCAGCAGCAGATGATGATCCATTATTATTACCTTGTGAATTTGGTCCTTGTGAAGCAGAGCTATCTGAGCTTGATGTTGAACTTGAGTCTGAAGCTGAACCTGATGATCCTGAACCTGATGAACCTGATGCACCTGAGGCACCTGAGGCAGCAGCAGTTGAAGCAGCAGATGAGCCAGTTGATGATGATGATGAACCAGTGCCAGATGATCCTGATCCTGATCCTGATCCTGTTCCTGATTTGCTAGTTTGAGCAGATGATCCTGAGCCAGTATTTGAAGATGAGGTAGCAGCAGCGGCAGCAGCGGCGGCGGCAGCGGAAGCAGCAGCAGCAGATGATGATCCATTATTACCTGTGAATTTGGTCCTTGTGAAGCAGAGCTATCTGAGCTTGATGTTGAACTTGAGTCTGAAGCTGAACCTGATGATCCTGAACCTGATGAACCTGATGCACCTGAGGCACCTGAGGCAGCAGCAGTTGAAGCAGCAGATGAGCCAGTTGATGATGATGATGAACCAGTGCCAGATGATCCTGATCCTGATCCTGATCCTGTTCCTGATTTGCTAGTTTGAGCAGATGATCCTGAGCCAGTATTTGAAGATGAGGTAGCAGCAGCGGCAGCAGCGGCGGCAGCGGAAGCAGCAGCAGCAGATGATGATCCATTATTACCTTGTGAATTTGGTCCTTGTGAAGCAGAGCTATCTGAGCTTGATGTTGAACTTGAGTCTGAAGCTGAACCTGATGATCCTGAACCTGATGAACCTGATGCACCTGAGGCACCTGAGGCAGCAGTTGAAGCAGATGAGCCAGTTGATGATGATGATGAACCAGTGCCAGATGATCCTGATCCTGATCCTGATCCTGTTCCTGATTTGCTAGTTTGAGCAGATGATCCTGAGCCAGTATTTGAAGATGAGGCAGCAGCAGCGGCAGCAGGCGGCGGCAGCGGAAGCAGCAGCAGATGATGATCCATTATTACCTTGTGAATTTGGTCCTTGTGCAGAGCTATCTGAGCTTGATGTTGAACTTGAGTCTGAAGCTGAACCTGATGATCCTGAACCTGATGAACCTGATGCACCTGAGGCACCTGAGGCAGCAGTTGAAGCAGCAGATGAGCCAGTTGATGATGATGATGAACCAGTGCCAGATGATCCTGATCCTGATCCTGATCCTGTTCCTGATTTGCTAGTTTGAGCAGATGATCCTGAGCCAGTATTTGAAGATGAGGCAGCAGCAGGCAGCAGCGGCGGCAGCGGAAGCAGCAGCAGCAGATGATGATCCATTATTATTACTTGTGAATTTGGTCCTGTGAAGCAGAGCTATCTGAGCTTGATGTTGAACTTGAGTCTGAAGCTGAACCTGATGATCCTGAACCTGATGAACCTGATGCACCTGAGGCACCTGAGGCAGCAGCAGTTGAAGCAGCAGATGAGCCAGTTGATGATGATGATGAACCAGTGCCAGAT